AGCTGTATTTTCAGCATCATTGCTCCAGTCTTCAGTGTCACATGATCTTCAGAAATCATTCTAATATGCTGATTTATTATTAGAATTATCAATATTTGCAATAGTTGTGCTGCCAAATATTTTTTGGGAATCTGCGATACTTTTTTTTCAGGATTCTTTGATGAATAAAAAGTTCAAAAGAACAGCATTTATTTAAAATAGAAATCTTTTCTAACAATATACACTAGCGTTCAAAAGTCTGGGGTCAGTACATTTTTATTCTTTCTTTTTTTGAAAGAAATTAAAACTTTTATTCAGTTTTATATTATTGTTCAATTGCTAAGAATTGACAGCAAAGATTTATATTGTTAGAAAAGATTTATATTTTGAATAAATGCTGTTCTTTTTAACTTTTTATTCATCAAAGAATCCTGAAAAAATATTGCAGTTTCCAAAAAAATATTTGGCAGCAAAACTAGATAATTCTAATAATAAATCAGCATATTATAATGATTTCTGAAGATCATGTGACACTTTATACTGGAGTAATGATGATGGAAATTCAGCTTTGCATCACAGAAATAAATTATATTTTAAAGGATATTAAAATAGAAGCCATTATTTTATATTGTAATAACATTTTGCAAGATTACTGTTTTTTTCAGTATTTTTTATCAAATAAATGCAGCCTTGATGAGCAGAAGAGAAAAAAAACATTCATGATTTCTGAAGGATAATGTGACACTAAAGACTGAAGAAATGATGCTGAAAATTTAGCTTACTATAAACATTTATTTTTCGAATTAGTGCATCCCTGGTGGGCATAAGAGACATTTTCAAAAAAGAAAAAATCTCATTGCCTCAAACTTTTCATCTGAAAACACTTATCCAATTCTCTTATTTCTACATTTTTAATTATTAATATACTCTATAACTTAATATTTATTTGTGCATATTTAAAGTAAACCTGTAACTAAGATATGTCAAAGGACTGAAAGCACGGATTCATATGCCTTATGATTAATAATGTAAATAATATTTTTTACTATATGCTTGAGTGATTTTAATGGGTTAAAAGGGTGCTGCTAAAACCAAATGGACTTGAGGGTTGGCTCAAAAAATTAGAACATTGTGAAAAAGTTCATTTTCATACATTCTAGATTCATTACATGTAAAGTAAACCATTTCAAAAGTTTTTTTTTTTAATTTTGAAGATTAGAGCTTACAGCTCATGAAAGTCAAAAATATATATGAAATATATGGTATATGAAACAAATATATGAAAGTTTCACTTTTTGAAATAAGTTACAAAAAAAAGAACCTTTTCACGATATTCAATTTTTTTTAGATGCACCTATATATATGTGTATGTGTATGTATGTATGTATGTATATGTGTGTATATACAGTATATATGTGTGTGTGTGTGTATGTGTATGTGTATGTATGTATGTATATGTGTGTATATACAGTATATATGTGTGTGTGTGTATGTGTATGTGTATGTGTATGTATGTATATGTGTGTGTGTGTATGTATATGTGTGTGTATACAGTATATATGTGTGTGTGTGTGTGTATGTGTATGTATGTATATGTGTGTGTGTGTATGTATATGTGTGTGTATA